TCTTAACCATCGCGCCACTCGGCCGGCCCTCAAGTAGACTTTTAAAATAATGCTTTATACTGGAATATAACAGTTTGAACACCTAGTTTATATTTCAACTTTATCTTTTTATTAGCTCACTTCATTTTTAGCATGGACAATGGTAAACATGGAACCACTGAGATAGACAACGTCAGAAAGGAGAGAAGGAAGCAGGATTCCTGAGCGTGGGGCGCTGCCCTCCGGAAAGCTCCCTTCCTTCGGAGGACAGAGCACCAGGTCGCTTTTCTCTTTTCAGGCTTCCTGTGTCCAGTACCGGTTAGTGGTCCGGGATGTGGAGACCCTTCAGATCCTTCAGCTGTACACGTGCCTGGACCAGATCCAGCACGTCGAGTGGTCGGCCGACTCTCGCTTCATCCTGTGTGCCATGTACAAACGGGGGCTGGTGCAGGTACGTGCCTGTGCGTGGGGCCAGGGCTGGGACTCCCACGGAACGGCTGTTCCCTGCCCTTGTACGGAAAAAAGGCAGTGCAGCTCAAAGCCAGCTTCCTTTTAAAATTGTAAAAGTTCTGTCATCATTCAAGTACTCTTAAAATGAGAAACATTTAAATATTCTTAATCTGTAACCAAAGCGATAATTCAGTAACAGGAAGTGTCTACAGACCGTAGTCCAGCAGCTTGGACGTGGCGGTGCGTTTTGGGAAGTGCTGAGATGTGGAGCGGAACTAAATGAGGCTGTAGGGTCGTCAGGGAAAACAAACCTTTTGAAACGACCACAGAATGAAATCGCCAAGAAGTGTGGCTGCCTCTTGTGGTGGGACCTGGTGCCCGTCTGGCGTAGTGGAGATTTATAAAGGGAGCCTGCTGATGGCCGGCTGTTGAAGCTTCGTTTCCGCGTGGATTCGCTTGCGATTTGCGTTCCTCTCTGTGTGGCTCCAGGTGTGGTCTTTGGAACAGCCAGAATGGCACTGCAAGATAGACGAGGGGTCGGCAGGGCTGGTGGCTTCCTGCTGGAGCCCCGATGGACGTCACATCCTCAACACGACCGAGTTCCACGTGAGTGAGCCCTCAGTGCACTTTATTACCCCAGGGAGGTGACCCCATGCCCCCAACTCCTGAGATGGGTCAGGAGCAGGAAAGTGGGTGATTTGTGGGGCAGTCAGAGTGTGGTAACCATAACTAGTGTTGTTCTGTATTCTGTAATCCTTTTGTCCGGTTTTAAAGGAAAATAAAACTGATTTTTTTTTTAATCTTAAATTACATTTTTAAGGATTTAAACAGTTGTAATTCAACAGTAGAAAACGTACTTCAATACGAA